TTTATGATAAACTGGGATGTGTGATTACCGTATTTGACCACATAACCCCAGAGCAAAGAGACTTCAGGTCATCGTTAGCAGGGGATTCCCAAAGGGCTCTGCAATCATGCCACCCTCGGAGCTTCCCCCTCAGCCCAGCAGCATCTGCCCCTGCTTCCCCTTGCTGAGATGTTTGCAGTCAGGCCAAGAACAAACAATTGAATTTCTGTAAGTCTCCGATGACACATCTACGAAACGGAAATAATGAGGACTCTCTGCTTAACTTGTGTGTGAGGACTCTCTGCTTAACTTGTGGGGATCAATGCAAAATGAAAATGTTAAAACAACAACAAAGGATTTCAAACCAGTGGTTGGGTAGAACAAGAAACCAAGTACATAGTCCTTCTGAGTGGGGCCATCAGTAACTGAATGGGTCTCATGCCCGTGAACCTGGCTCTGGAGATGAGAAGGTCCAAACCCATGACTATGGTGGCTAAATGGCTCCAAACATTTACTGCACTGAGCCCATCCATGGTCCGGGTAAACCGCATGCAGTCGTGATTGCTTCACTGAAGTCCAGCTTGACTTCATCTAAATTTTTGCCTTGACACTGACAGAACTGGGTGATCTTCCAAAAGTCACTTCAGCTTCTCTAGGATCAGGTCCTCCCCCCCCTCCGTGTATCACACAGGGACTGCAGAAATCTCCAGAAAGCTTACCAACCCCGAATCTGTTCTGATCAGTTCCGTGATGTGTGTACACATGAGCAGGGTCTTAATGTTCTTCTGCCTCCTTGGGCTTGCAGAAATTCTCTTTGGATTTCAAGGTCCATTCACATAAAGACATTTCTACCTTCTGAATACATACACGAAGGGCTCCTAGGTTATTTCCAAAATTCCTTTAAAGATCCCCCATTTCATGCATGAGCAGTTGGAGGTTTAGGGAGGTGAATGGACTCAGAGGGCCATATGATGTGAGGGGTATGTGGAAATCTAAGCCAGACCTCCACAGCGTTACGTTATTACGGGCTAAGGGAACATCAGGAAGCCTCTATCTAGGATTGTACTTTGCAATTATTCTTTCTAGAGTAATTTCTTATGAGAATAAATAGAAAACAAACCAGAAAAGCAAAACCAAAAACATTACTTGTCATTTGGGCTTTCTACATGATTTTTATTTTAAGCTGACTATTCCTGTTTTCTCAAAGCTTGGATGCCTGACACAGAAGAGACTCCCTGGTTTCTCTGTAGTCTGTTTGCATTCTGCTAGGGGAGTGGAGGGTTCCAGACCCTTTCTTGTGTTCTCTGCTGAGTAAATGGATGCTGTCTGCATCAAAGGAGCCTTTCCTAACCTTTCGGCTCCCTCTACCTAAGTGCTATGTTGGGGCTATCTTGTCAGTCATTCCTTTCTGAGAACAGGCTAGAAGGAGAGAAGGACTCTTTTTAGTCCTGGCTCTGGGCCATGTGAACACATGGGGCATCTGGTCATGTGTTTGGTGTCTAGAGCATTCTGAGTTTTTCCCAGGGGTAAAGAGTTAAGGGAAAGCAGCCTGGCCCTGGAAACTTGCTGCTCCCCAGATCATGCCCACCCTGTGTGTTCAGGTCTTCCCTCAGCTGAGCCCTGGCTGTGCAATAATAGGTCTGGATCATTTTTAAGGCAATCTATAACTTCAGTTAAAAGAAAACATTAAAAGTTTCATTTTCAACACGAACTGGCTCAGGGCCAGATGCATATTCCTTGTTGGGAAGATGGTATTTTGTTTTGTTTTCTCATTTCTCTTTAGGCTTGCTTTCTTCTGAACTGTGTGCCACCTTCTCCTACCACAGAAATGTTGATGGCAGAGCTCCAGTTAGCCGGAGGGGTCTGCAAAACACTCAGGATGTCCAGGGCCACGTACCATGTTCTCCATTTTCAAGCTTCGTAAAGAAGTGCAATGTCTCAGATTCTGAGACATCATGATTAGAAGGCCAGTGTGGGACCATGAGTGAGGTTGTAGACTAGGAGCCATTTCTGGTAGACACTTTCTTCCTTTTCTACAGGGCAGAGGAATAATCTTTCTTGAAGGCTGTTATTAATTTATAATTGGTATCAGGCCAACGGGTGCTGAGGGGCTTGCAGTGAAGTGTGGGGGTGGCCTTTATGAAACAAAACCAGATCTTCTAACATTTTTTTTTGTAGATACCAATTTAGGATCTAAATTTGCACTGATATCAGACATGGATGCCTTCAGTTTCCTGTTCACTCTCATGACATAAGGGATGCTCTCTGTATGGAGAACTTTTGTGCAACCACTGAAAAGAACATGGCGGTAGATAGTGCCTATGCTAGAACTCCTAAGAACGGAAGGGGTACTGTGTCCTATGTGTAGAGAGGGTGGTGGTAAGAGCTGGGACATCCAGAAGAATTTGTGTTCTGGGGCTTCTACATACTTGTTTGACTGTGTAAGCACTGACAAGCACAGGTAGTTGTAATGTTCATAAATAGAAAATAATATTTAAGTTCTAGAAAAATCTTCTGGACCTCTAGTCATCCAATGCTAAGAATGTCTCTGAGTTAAACCGAATTGTTTATCTGGGAGGATGTGGGATGTCCTTAGGCTTCTCCTTTTGGATACCAGGAAATGAATTCTGAGAAAGGTCAAGTGAGTTGCCCAAGGTTGTAAAAAGGGAATAACTGTAAACAGCTTAATTTTTAGGGAGCCTTCTGTTATCCATTGCAGACCAGATTAAAATGGGCTCTTTGCCTCAGTCGGTATATGTTCCTTTTAAATTATTTTTATTTTATATGTGTTGGTGGTTTTTTCTTTCCTGCATTAATGTCTGTATACCATGTGTGTGCTTTGTGCCCAGTGAGACCAGAAAAGGACATTGGATCCTCTGGAACTGGAGTTACAGACAGTTGTGAGTTGCCATGTGGGTGCAGGGAATTGAACTCTGGTACTCTGGAAGAGCACCCAGTGTTCCTAATTAGTCAGCTATTTTTCCAGCCCCCAGGTCGTTTTTTTCTTTATGAACAAGTTCAAGCTGGGCCTGGTGGTACAGATTGTTCTTCTGGAGGATGAGACAAGTTCAAGGCCTACCTGAGTTGCAGAGTAAATTCATGGCTAGCCTGGGCAACTTTGTGAGACCCTACTTCGAAGAGTAGGTAGCTTTGGATTTACGTAGCTCCACAGTAGAGTACTTGCCTAACATATAAAGGGGCCCGGGTTTGATCTCCAATCTCCCTAACACTCTGCAAAGAGAAAGTCCATTGTGAGCTAATAGAAGTTGTCTGTCTGAGCTGTGAGACCCTACCAGCTGCCAGTATCTCCTCCCATGGGGGAGGGTTTGTACTTCAGCAATGAAGAGAAGGGTGTCTCGGAAAGCAAAGACAGTGAAATGGTCTAGAGGACCAGAAAGTCACAGAAGTGTGACTTTGTGAGTTTGATATTAATATTTCCATTCTACCTAAGCAAAACAGAGACTTCTCACAGCTTAGGAGTAAAACAGGGAATTACTTTGGCATGGGGTCAAAAATGGTCTTCATTAATAAGCTAACATGTCTGTTTTCCTAGTTGGTTATGACCCTCTCCTCTGGCTAGTTGGGAAATCAATGGCATACAGACATTTAAATGTCAGACTGCTGTGCAGTGGAGGGTAGGACTTAACAGTTTACTCGACCTTTCCCATACATCCTCTCATGTTTTCCAGGTGTGTGTGTGTGTGTGTGTGTGTGTGTGTGTGTGTGTGTGTGTGTGTGTGTGTGATCTTATTTTTAAAGATAGGGAAATGAAAGCATGGGAAATGATTTATTAACAAGAACACAAGTGGCAGGTGCAGAGCTCAAACCTGGGACTTCTTATTCCAATTCAAAACTCATGAGAACTTAACTCTCCTAAATCATGAGATAGTCTTCCTTAGTTATCAGGGAAAAGCAGGCTTCCTCCTGGGCAGGCTGGGTGCTTCTACTCTCAATAACTATACCTTTGACTTTGAGAACAAAGGGACAGTAACTGGGAAAATTAGGCCCAAGTACAGATCTATTAAAAGCTGGTGAAATTTCAGTCTTTTTTTTTTGTTTGTTTTTTGGTTTTTACGAGACACAGTTTCTCTGTATTGTTTTGGAGGCTGTCGGTCTAGCCTGGCCTCGTACTCACAGGAAATGTCAGTCTTATGACATAAAATAGAAATGATGGAGGCACATGCCTTTAATCCCAGCACTTGGGAGGTAGAAGCAGGTGGATCTCTGTGAGTTTGAGGCCAGCCTGGTTTACAGAGTGAGTTCCAGGACAGGCTCCAAAGCCACAGAGAAACCCTGTCTTGAAAAGCAAACCAAACAAACAAACAAAAAAAGAAATGATGGGGATAGTCCCTTCTCTCTGCATGCTTCCTTAGGATGTTCATCCGATTGTGCCAACAGGAGAAGAGACAGGAAAAATATTGGGAATGTTCTTTTTTTCTCTACTCATTGCTCTGGCTGACTTTGCACCTGTGTGTCCCGAACACCAGTCCTAAATGTTATGAAAATGATGACTGAAGACTGTCATTCCATATTTTAATGTGTCTTAGAAAACATTTTGAAAATATATTGTACTTCTTTTTCCAATGGGGAAAATTTTTACAGGAGTCCCTTTGACAGAAACATTCTATTTGTCTCCTAGAAGCTCCACCATTCACGGGGAACAAAGCCTGAATTATGACATTTTGTCTGTAAAGTGATTTTTAAGATGCAGAGACTCGAACTCATCTCAGGAGAATAATCAGTCGCTCTGTCATGGTGTCAGAGGACAGAGTAAGACCTACTTGTGTCACATAGTGAACAAGAGTTGGTGTGTAGGTGGTAAAAGGCACCACCACCGGCCCAAAACAATAGCAAGTCAAAAGGAGCAGGAAGAACAGACATGGCTTTCAAACAGTTGGCCTGACTTCACAGTCACAGCAGCCCCCAGGAAAAGCTCTGTTTGTAGAAGTATGAATATATTTTTATGGGTGAGGCTGGGTGTTGCTCAAACCTCCATCCTGACTGTTCTGACTCTCTTCCAGACTTGATGAGCAGGTGGTCTGCTTGTTGTCACCCACCAAGGCATCAGCATGGCCCCACCCCAGGTGAGTCATCTGCTTCATCCTCCTACCGTTATCTCAAGCAAATGAAAACTTATCCTGCTTGCATGACTGATTGAGAAGCAATTTTCTACACCTTCCCCGGGTACCCTATTCCCGCAGCTGTCATCTTGCTTTGTACCTAGTTCTCCTCGTTGCAGTGTTCAATCCTGACCTTATCTCCCTTCAGAAGAGGTGATGGCTGTTTCTGATGGTGTCAGACATTTGAGGTCTGAAGCTGTCCCCCACATTTTTGTCACTCACACCTGTAACCATTGCTCAGACCAAGATGGCACCCCCTGCCTCATGACAGCCCCATCCCGTACATTACGGTCTCAGGGGGTTCCTCAGTCAACCTTCCACCCTGGAGAACAGGCTCTTCTTCTGACACGCCCTCCTCTCCTTTCAAACATCTTTCTTCGGACTGCTGCCTGGATAACAGAGAACCCGTTCCTTTTGGAGACTTTATGAGGGTCGATTTTACTGGACATGGACTCAGGGAGTTAGGAAAGCAACCACAAAAGCTGGGATTAGTTTCCTGCTGGAGACAACACAGCACACCAAGGGCTTTCACAAGGCCCACCACTGTCCCCCACAGGGGTCCTGTCAGGTAGTGATGGCTGCTGCTACTTCAGTGGCTGTGGAAATGGAGCCTGCGCTCAGCTGTCAGTGGGAGAACAGTATCTTGCTGTTTCTAAAGCTGTTCTCAACCATACAGCTACTCACAGAAGGAGGGCAAATGATGGGGTATACTGTATCCCACAGATTAAATCCCCTTACAGCCCAACCTCCTTTTGTCTTCCTGTAGCCACAGGAAAACAGTTTTATGAGTAACTTTAACTTGGAAGATGCATGGAGGGCTCTGGTTTGCTCTCCTCTCACATCAACAGTTCCATTTCCCCTTGCCTACTGCTAGGGCAGTGGTTCTCAACCTTCCTAATGCTGCGACCCTTTCGAACGCCTCCTCATGTTGCGGTGACCTCAAAATTATTTTCATTGCTACTTCATAACTGCAATTTTGCTAGTGTTATAAATCATACTATACATATTTTTTTGGAGGTAGAGGTTTGCCAAAGGGGTCTGGGCCCACATGTTGAGAACCACTGTCCTAGCGTATTCTAGGCATCATTCCTACTTGACAGAGACATCACCATCATCCCCTTGAGCATTCATAACCTTATGGCTTTTACAGAGAACACTTACAAGCATTGCTTGGGACCATCTTGGCTTTGATGCTGGCTCTGGAAGCAGTCTGACCATTCACAGGCAGAGCTACATAGAACATGGCAGTGGTTAAGGGTACAGTGCACCAAATCCTATCTGTATCAGGCAGAACCCATCTCCAGGGGAGGAGTCGTGCTATAGCAAGCATGGAGATGGTCATGCCAGGCACTCCTGCCCCTCTGGGGGTAGGGATGAGGGGTGATGGATGCTGGATATAAATGGGACAGAGGAGTTCCGCAGCCCGTCATTGGGCTTCTGCTTACCACGGCCACCACAGCTTTCTCATTTAGTTCTCTGTGCTACAATTTCTTTTTAAGTTCTCTCCCCCACACACACCAGGCTGTGAGCTCCTTGAGAGCTGTGTTTTCTATTTTACAAACCCAGCAGGCAGCGGTTTGCTTGCTCATAGTAACTTTTCAATAAGTGCGTTCTGGACCAATGAGGAGAGAAACATGGATTTCCCATGGATCCTGACTTTTGTTGTTAAGGTGGCTTGCTGTTATGTCTCATCAGACAGGTGCAGAATCCTTCCTAGTCATGTGCCTCCCTCCACCATGCTCACCTTAGCTCTCGGTGCCGAGGGCCGATTCCAGGAAAAAGCCTAGAAACCTGGCCCACAGAGCAGCAGCAATAAGCATTCTGAGCCGAACTGAGAAGAGCGAGAAGATGGTTTGAATTATGGTTTTCTAGGGTTTTCAGGGGGACCGTGGGAGTGACACACAGCAGCTGTTTCCACTTAAATTGATTAACAAGTATCACTACAATGAACTCAGAATTTAAAACAAAACTCCATGGAAATGAATCATTCGAGATCATTCCAAAATGGCCCAAAGGAAAGAAGTTTCTCCAACTGATGAGCCACAAGGTCTTTAACCCAGTTTCTCCCCATGGACAAACCCTCCTTGGGACTGCGTCACAGACATGCACCGGAGCCCAGTTCCTCCATGCTGACTGCTTGGCATCAGAACTGTAAATTGGCCCCAACAAATGCTCTGGCTCTGCCTGAAAAGCAGGAGGTAAAATATCATTTGTGACAGAGGTGGCCCAGGCAGCCTTGCGGTGCTTTGGGCAAGAGCCACACTCCAGGAGATTAACCTCAGAACTGCTCTGGGGTCTCTAAGAACCGGTCCATCTCTGTACTACACAGTGAGCAGCTGCTGGCCCGGTGGGCAGGGCTCAGCCCTTCCCCACCTAGGATGTTAAACAGAAAATACTGTTTGGGTTTTTTGAATGTTCTCATCAGAGTTAAGAGTCTAATTCACAGAAACAAATAACCCCCAGGTGTGACACTCAAGGAAATTTCAGAATGTCCTGTGGTTATTAACGGCGGCACAATGGGGCAGTCTTAGTAGAAAGCTGATGAGGAGGTAAATCGAATAAAGAAAATCAATTTTCGAGAATAAATGAAATTTAAAATGCTCCAGCTGCAGGGCCCCAGCAAAGACAAGGCGTAGTCCATCTTCTGTTCATCTAACTAATGGAAGTCACACTTTATTCCTGTTACATTGGGTGCGCATTATCAAGCTCTGTTCTCTAAAATTAGATCTTTGCAAAGATATAGCTGACTCCCCGTGACAAGCCCAGTGGTGGGGCGAGCCTCTGCTGGCATCAGGCTCCGTCTGGGCAGACTATGCTGCTCAACTCCCTCTTGTATCCTCTGTGTCTCCAGGGCTCATGAGGTCGCCACATGGCATTGCAAAAACAATGCTCAACGGTCCCCTGCTTTCCCCTCTGTGACTTTTTTTTTGTTTGTTTTTATGAGACAGGGTTTCTCTGTATTGTTTTGGAGGCTATCGGTCCAGCCCGGCCTCGAACTCACAGAGATCCTCCTGCCTCTGCCTCCCGAGTGCTGGGATTAAAGGCGTGCGCCACCACCGCCCGGCTCCCTCTGTGACTTTGAACAAAGAAGAGGGCCTTGGCTGCTCTCAGCCAAGTATCCCTACAACCCCAGCAGGAACTGAAAGTTGCCACTATGCAATTTTCCTCAGTTAAAATTCATGTGTTAGGCTCATGGGTCACAAGCATAGACAGGTCACAGAGACCCAGGGGTGGCTTGTCCTTTTGTGAAAGAAATTTTATGATACTTTTAGTCAGTGACAACTTCAGTTTTTTAAAATTATTTCTTTAATGGTAAGGATTCCCACTGGTAGAGTTAAAAATAGAAACTCTGTTTAATGTTGCCCTGGGGGTAGTGTTTAAATGTATATTAATGTGCACTGGTGCAGTGAACACCATCCTTTGGCTCTATGCTGTGAAGAGGAGAGAAAAATGGAGGCTGATCTGAGTGGAGAGATGTAGTGACCTAGAAAGATCTCTAGTCCTCTTGCCTGGGCTGCTTTCCATCTACTGGTTTCTGAGCAGGTGGGTGGATTATACTTGGCTGAGGCAGTTGGAGCTGACGGTTGTTGGGGATCAATAGAGTTAGAATTCTGGAATCTAAGACAGGAAGAATGAAGACTGTACTGTAAACACATTCCCTAGATCTTTAGCTACCCACTACCCACAGGGCCCCAAAGTTGGCTATATGGGGAGGGTGGGTTTGCCAGTTTTATTTCATGATATTGACATAACAATTATCAACCTTGGGGTCATAACCTATGTCTCAAGTCAGGTCCAGCCACCCATCCCCAATAAGTCAATTAAAAGAGCCAAAGGAATAGTGAAAGCAAAAAATAAAAAATAAAAAAAGGAGATTTATTCGATGTGGCCACATTAGGAAGAAGGAAACAGAGATCCAGTGACTCCCCTGCTCCCACCACAGAGTCCATCTTTGGTGTCCTGAGGTAAGATCAGTCTTGGTCAAGGTGTAGTTGCATCCACCATTGACCCATCATTATCTGGGTTTCAATTTTATCCTGTATGGTGTCTGAGTCTGAGAAGGCGCTAGAACTATGTGAAATCTCTTTCCAGGAGACAAGTCCCCTCCTCTGGCTGGTGCCCTTTCAGCATGAGATTCCTGGACGAAATCCCCTTTCCGTGGGGTCCATTGTTTCAGTTCTCTGATAGTCAGATGGAGAGACACATGTGTCTCTTTTGAAGGTCTTCCTTTCTGCCAGGGCAGTTACAGGTCCAATTGACATTTATATATCTAGTATATTAAAGACTTTACCAGCCAATGAGAACAATAACAACCATCCTTAAGACACACTGTCTGTCTTCAAATTTGTTTCTATCTCAGTAAGGACAAGAAGAAAAAGCAGAGTACTTCAATTTCTGTGCTCAGTGACCTGAGAGACATGGGACGGGAGTCTCTGGAAGGGACAGCAGCGGTGCTTATAATAAATGCGGTGACAAGAGAACCTCTGTCGTGTTTGCAAAACAATGGCTATAACAGTGGCCAGCAGACTATGCTGTATGCAGTGAACTGCACAGTAGACATGCCTGTGTTGACATTGACACATCTCAGTTCTATTAAGAGAATGCCTTGTTGGACCCACATCATGTATGTGTACAGAAGGTATTGCATTCTGGACATCCAATAAACCCTGACTCTGACATGCACCCAAAGTAAGGCAGTGGGAAAACTGGCCCTTCTGGGAAGGAGTAGAGGAGGATGACATGGCTAATGCTAAGAGCAAAGGCATAGTGAGCACTTAAAACATTTTACAAGTACCTTTGCATGTAATTGTCTTGACAAGACACATAGGGAGGTGACGCCATTATTTTTATCTCTAGGATGAGTATCCTGAGGTAGGGAGGAGTCAAAGGACAGTGCTTGCCCTGTACCAAGGTACTAAGTAGTAAGCACAACATTGGATCTCACTTCCTATCTGAGTCATATG